TATGGTGTTGTTAGGAGACCATTTTGTCCTTATCCAGTTACCGGTTAATTGTCCTCTACCTCCTATCACTCCACAGTGGCGACATGTTAGAGCCGCAAATCTTGCCCACTTGTCGGAAATGTTCGAAGAACGCCTATACATGTGGCGTCGTTTATCTAGGTTGGGATAGGTCCTTGTATTATTTTATTTTAGTTGGTATGTATTTTGGACCTTGTATTATTTTATTTTAGTTGGTATGTATTTGGACCTTGTATTATTTTATTTTAGTTGGTATGTATTTGGACCTTGTATTAGGTCCTTGTATTATTTTATTTTAGTTGGTATGTATTTTGGACCTTGTATTATTTTATTTTAGTTGGTATGTATTTGGACCTTGTATTATTTTATTTTAGTTGGTATGTATTTGGACCTTGTATTAGGTCCTTGTATTATTTTATTTTATTGGACCTTGTATTAGGTCCTTGTATTATTTTATTTTATTTGGTATGTATTTTGGACCTTGTATTATTTTATTTTAGTTGGTATGTATTTGGACCTTGTATTATTTTATTTTAGTTGGTATGTATTTGGACCTTGTATTATTTTATTTTAGTTTGTATGTTTGGACCTTGTATTATTTTAGATGGAAATACCATAAATAAAATAGTCAAACAAAAATAACATAAATGTCAAACAAATACAAAACATACCCAAATGTCAGAAAAAACAAATAAATGTCAAACAAATACAAAACATACCCAAATGTCAGAAAAAACAAATAAATGTCAAACAAAAGCCGTCTACTGTCTACCCCTAGACCTCCTCGAAGTGCCACTCGTCCCACCCGGTCGCCGACGCGGTGGTGGCATCTCCATAAAGTCGTCGTCGTCGGAATCTCCAGTGGGGGATAAACCTAGAAAACGTGCATGTGGCTCCACACGAGGCTGTAACTGGACACGTAGATGCTGGGGTATCTCGTGCATGTGCGGATGGATGATACGCACAATGTCATAAAAGTCCGGCTGAATAGGAGGGGGGCGTACGACTGGCGGTGGTCGTTCTGGCGCTGGATCCCGGTTGATCACGTACTGATGAGTACGAGGAACGTACCACTCCATGTACCGAGTGGCAGTCTCAGACGGCGGCCAGGCTAATGTCCTACCGTCCATCGTAATCGAGCTGGTAGCCAGGTCCATCCACTCCTGCACTGGAGGATCATACCGTACCTGGTACGTCTGTCCTCCAAGCGGACCACGTAGGCATGGCTCTCTGGACTGGATGTAGCACTGCGGAACGGTCTGTCTGAAGCCAAACTGCCGAAGGACGCGATCCGGTAAATATGGCTCGACAATCTCCATAAACTGTATGCACCCATAATATAATGTACGCGGAACGCGTCTATGTACGTGCGGCCCGTAAGGCATCCAGTCAATCTGGAAAATTATATTAACGTAATAAAAATTACATTTACATAATAATTAATAATAAATAACTTCAACAATTAAAATACATACCTGATCGGCCTGCATATCATCAAGCATCCTTCGGACCGAGAGCAAGTCCGAAATACCCTTGCGTGGTTTCCATTTCAGGAAACGAGGCTGCATCTCCCTATAATCCGAATTAATAGGTGCTCGGAAAGGGCGAAAGTACTCGTAAATCCAGCACTACAAATAAACGAGACTATATTAGATTAATATTATCTTAAATCACAATATATTATATTAAATTAATACTACCTACGTTATACTAATTATAATAATATATTATATTAAAATTTAACTTAAATACCTGGAGCAGTAACGTGCAACCCGCTAACCCCTTCACGTGGGCCCTACTAGCCAAGCCCAACTGTCGGTATAAATGAGCCAATACAGCTGCACCCCAAGCATACTCGCCGACGTGCTCGAGATCGGAAGAATATCTCATCCACGTTGGCTTGAACCTGTCTACGCTCCGGTCGGGGAACAAAGCCATACCGATCAAAAACGTCAAATATCCTACCACCTTCTGCCGACAAGTTCGGGACCGACTACGCACACGCTCCACAAACTCCGACCATTTTATCCCACTATTGCCGAGCTTGGCATGCGCCTCGACCATGTCCAAATCAAGAACCTCAGCTAGCAACAACTCACTCATAGGCCTCTCCTCAACAGAATCACCGTGCACCGCTAAACCGTCAACACGCAACCCCAAAATCAAATGGACATCATGTAGGGTGATCGTCATCTCACCCCAAGGCATGTGGAAACTGTTCGTTTCCGGCTGCCACCTCTCTATAAATGCCCCCATGAGTCCCTTGTCTACATTTTTAATGTAGAAGTACTCGAGTGAGTCTAGGCCAGATGCCTCCAGTAGCTCTAACTCATCCTGCCCGTAAGGAGCCATGAGTTGCTTCAACTCATGTTTCCTAAAAGCATTAAGCGCAGTAATCCTTGACTCACATCGCCCCACGCTGCGCTCCTGTAGAATTTCTAATTTAATCAGACAAAATATATTAAAATAAATATATTTAAAATATATAAAAATAAATATATTTAAACTTACATGTCCTGCCCAAATGTAGTAGGCAATATGACTCTTAAAACTAGGAATCATCCTCCAATCAGTCGGTCCTCCTGGAGCCGGACCATGTAACTCAAGTGGGCCACTGAAAGTGTCAAACTCGTACCGAGACTTCCGTGCGCGCGCGGCCGGGACGGGAACATCATCATAATCGCTCTCAACATGGTCATGCTCCTCCTCGTGTCCCTCGTAGGGGATACCAGAATCTGCCCCTACAGATCGAATGCTACCCGCCATAGATCTAGAACTCTGATCTATGTGGGGAATCTCGTCCACGACCGGTAAACCAATGTCGCGCTCCATAACTCTCCTACGACGATGAGATGCAGTCATACGAATGCGCTCCGCTTCCGCCTCGGCTTCAGTCGCGCCTTGCCCGCCATACCGAAATTTAATCTTCGGAAATTTATCCGAACTCGAAGAAGAACCCATAAGCCCTTTCCCCTTGTCCTGACGTGCCATCTGTAAAAGATTAAAAAACAAATTAAATAAGATAATTAAAAAAAAAAAAAAAAATTGTTTGAATTTCCCGTTCTGCAGAACACGGGAACTTGAAGAATCTTCAAGTTCCCGTGTAACTGTTGAACCGGCTATTCTAATTCGTCACGCGCGCGTTCTCCAGAACG